CCTAGAAGAAATAAAAGCAAGAATAAACAAATGGGACCTAATGAAACTTACAAGCTTCTGCACAACAAAGTAAACCATAAGTAAAACAAAAAGACAACCTACGGAATGGGAGACAATTTTTGCTAATGAAACCGACAAAGGCTTGATCTCCAGAATACATAAACAGCTCATATGACTTAATAAGAAAAAAACAAACAACCCAATCCAAAAATGGGCAGAAGACCTAAACAAGCAATTCTCCAAGGAAGACATACAAATGATCAAAAAGCACATGAAAAAATGTTCAATATCACTAATTATCAGAGAAATGCAAATCAAAACTACAATGAGGTATCACCTCACACCAGTCAGAATGGCCATCATGCAAAAGTCCACAAATGACAAATGCTGGAGAGGCTGTGAAGAAAGGGGAACCCTCCTACACTGCTGGTGGGAATGCAGTTTGGTGCAGCCACTGTGGAAAAGAGTATGGAGATTCCTCAAAAGACTAGAAATAGACTTACCATATGACCCAGGAATCCCGCTGCTGGGCATATATCCAGAAGGAACCCTACTTCAAAAAGACACCTGCACCCCAATGTTGATAGCAGCACTATTTACAATAGCCAAGACATGGAAACAGCCTCAATGTCCATTGACAGATGACTGGATAAAGAAGCTGTGGTATATTTATACAATGGAATAGTATTCAGCCATAAAATGACAACATAACACCATTTGCAGTAACATGGATGTTCCTGGAGAATGTCATTCTAAGTGAAGTAAGCCAGAAAGAGAAAGAAAAATACCATATGAGATCGCTCATATGTGGAATCTAAAAAAAAACAAAAAAGGATATAAATACAAAACAGAAACAGACTCATAGACATAGGATACAAACTTATGGTTGCCAAGGGGGCGGGGGGTGGGAAGGGACAGACTGGGATTTCAAAATTTGTAGATACTAACAGGCATATGCAGAATAGATAAAGAAGATTATACTGTATAGCACAGGGAAATATATACAAGATCTATGGTAGCTCACAGAGAAAAAAAAGTGACAATGAATATATGTATGCTCATGTATAACTGAAACATTGTGCTCTACACTAGAATTTGACACAACATTGTAAAATGACTATAACTCAATTAAAGAATGTTAAAAAAAGACAAGGGTGGAAATAAATCTAGCACAAGGCACTTGATAAATATAGACAAAATATTAAGGAGATTCAAAAGAGGGAACTAACATACTTGGTTGAAGAAGCCACAAAAGGTTCTAGAGGAAGAGGTAAAATTTATGGTGTTTGCAAATTCCAAAGAGAAATGGGAGAAGAAACATGGAGAAGGTTCCTGTAAATTTTGACATGCAATAGGAGTAGTGAACAGAGGAGAGAGTTGGCATTTGTTCTAATGATTCAAGGGAAATTGGAGCAGGCAATGCAGTTTTCTGAAGGAAAACAGGAACTGGTTATTCAGTACAAATCAAAAAAGTATTTATTGAGTGCCTGCCAGATGGAGGGCCTTCCAAAAGTGTACAGAGGATACAGAGAGGAGATAACAAGGGCACAGACTGTATTTTAAATGTGTTTATAATCTCCTGGGGAAATAGTCATAAATGACTTCAACACAATGCTGAGTCAGATAAACATCAACAGGAACAGAAATGGGTTGAAGGCAAAGAGAAGTGACAGGGAAAGCGACATGAGAAGGACACAGGAAAGATAGGTAAAGCTTCATGCAGGAAGTAAAATGTCCAGATTGACCCTGGAGGAGGTCCCATTGCTGAGGATGGTTACAAATACATGAATTCAGGAGGGCCACATATAATTTCCAGTAAGAAGGGTTTTAGCAATTTTGGTGGATAAGGACACTGCTTTATAAATAAATAAATGACTCTAAAACATGACCATTGTTTAGGGGACAGCAAAATGAAATTTATCATTTGGATATGTTCGTTAAAACATGGAATCACAAACTTAGAGTGACACCATAGGTATGTAAATTTCTATTCCTATTGAAACTGCCTGGCTTCCAATGAATTCAGTCAATGACCAGTGCTATGGACCAGAAGGTGGTGTGCCTAAATTTCATTATGCCACCAAAGGGCAATTAATAGGCAGTTTACTGAGATGTTCTGCTAAAGAAGGGCCACTTACCATGAATAGGGCTTCATAATTTTCAATCATTTTCTGCACCACAGCAATGATGGCTGTGCTCTCTTCAGCCCGGGCTGAACTCTGGACCGAGAATTCTTTGTCTGATGACTTCTGCTTGTGCAGCAGGTTGGGTCCAAATATGGTGGCCAAGTTTAGAGATGTCATTTTGTTCCCAGTGACCTATAGAAGCAGAGAATACAAGGATTGGTGTTATTTGTGCTTTTCAAATTGCTAGGTGGTTCAGTAATCAATAGGCTCTTTTCCCTTTCCTTTCTCATTCTGCAAGGCCTACATCATCTCTGTCAGAATCCATGAAGGGCATCGTCATTTTCCTTTTGCTTCATATCTTGGATTGAAGTTCATAGCTCAGTGGTCATCTCAATATCATACTGAGTAAAATTTTATAACCATTATTTATTGTGAAGCTGGTACTATAGAAAATTCTATCCTGTCTGCTCTTTAAAAATATTGATGTCCATCCATCCATTCATCCTTCCATCCAACCAACTATCCATCCATCCATCCATCCCTCCCCCCATCTATCCCTTCAACCATCACTCCATCATCCCTATATTAATCCAGCCACTCAGGACCCACTGCGGGCCAGGCATTTTTCATGGATTCTCATTACTTTAGAGTTTTTCCAGCAATGATCACAACACCGTCCTTATATTAAAAGGGTCATAATCTAGAGGGGAAATAAACTTATCAATTACAAGTAGTGAGTACAAAGTATGAAACTATCAACTCTGGAGGCTGCAGAGACACTCCAAAGAGATGGCAATATTTGCATAAAACTTTAAAGGAAGAACAGAGTTTGCTGGGCTGAGAAGCAGAGGGGCAATTTCACAGTGGTCAGAGCACCAGATGCTAAGGCAGAAGCATGTAAAACACTCCCAGGCACCCGGGAAGCTCAGGGTGGCAGAGGGCTCTGCAGGAAAAGGCAGGGAAGGGCCAAGGGAGAATGTTTGCACGTGTCCCCTGTTGGGCATAACTATCCCTGGGTTGAGAATCACTGGTCCAGGCAAATTTTTATTTCTCTTGTTGAAATTAGTTGAAAATCTTGGAATGCCCAGGTAGGTATGAGGCCCATGGCTGTCTGGTGGGGACCCTTTGCCTAGGAAGACCTGCACAGCCTTTGAGAGGCACCTGGGTGTACACCATAAGATTCAAGCATAAAATCAATCCCTCATTGGTGGCTGAGACAAAGCCTCCTGAGTCCCAGCTTTGTCCTGTGGAGCCCTGAGCAGGTGGCTGCCCGGCTGTGCAATCCCAGAGTGGCACACGGGATATGTTATTTTTAGAAGGTGAGGCTGTTTTCAGGTTTGCTGTTGAGTGAAATGATTTCACGTGGTAAATATGGGGAATTTTCAAGAAAATGACCTTTATGTTTGACAGTTCAATTATTTTTTCCCTTTGTTTTATATCACTGATATAAAACGTGGCAAGTTTTCATGTTATTTTTCACTTCTCTTCCTGGAAATTCATGGTTAAGGATAAAAATCAAATATGCACCATTTTAAAATGCATCCCTTTAGAACTCAGAGGCATTTGGAGTGCTTCCCTCTCCCTTCTTAAAGTAATATCAGGGTTTTCTCATTTTAAAAAAACATTATCAAATAGAAGATTTTGTTTTCTTTTAAAAGAATGTTTAGCACAAGGACCATCCGGAACTCTGCTTCTGCCCTCCTTCTCCTGTTGCTATTCTGGGAATGCAATACAATCTCTCTATAAAGCTGCACAGAAATCCCAGCTGCAGACCATGCTGCTGTGTCTTGTTAATGCTTTTTTTGTTTTGTTTTGGCTTTGCTATACCATTTTTTAAACTGGAAAGGAGACTTGCTCATAGATGGCTTCCACCCTTGCTCACCATCATCCATGTCTATATCCATGTCTATATCTATGTCTATATCTATATGACTGGGTAATATAATCTGTACTTGGGGTTGATCCATTATTTCGTTTTCAGCCAATTCAAGGAAAACATTTATCTCTACTAAATAAGCATCCTAGATCATTTCTAAGCCTAATGTGAATAGCTCACATTTATTAAAAGTTTAGTACATACAGTCACTGGGCTAGGGCTTTCCAAAGGCTGTTTCAGTTCCTCCTCACCATACACTTATGAAGCCACTGTTGCTGTTGCCCTTATTTTACAGATAAGGGAAGTGATGCCCAGAGCCCGGAGCCAGGAGGTGGTGGCTCTGAGAAGCAAAGCTGGAGGCCCAGCCTCAGGGCTCCAGGCAGCCTCCCTGACACTCACTCTTGCTGGCAGAGCCCGCATAGTGGGGATGTGGGAAAACTGGCTCCAATGCCGGGCCGGGACCAGGGTGAGGACAGCCAGGCATCGGACCTGCTACAGTTCCAAAGCCAAACTCCCATTTCTAGAGGCATGCACCTCATCAAAGATCAGTCATCCCAGCCCTGTGTTGGTGATTTGTAACTTCTTTTTTGCCTCACAGACTCTTTAAAGAGCTAGAGGTCGGCAGTGGACTCTCTCACCAAAAAAAATTGATGTTCACACCACATTCTCCATGCCAGGCCAGGGGGCTCTTAGACAACCTGAAAAACCACTGCTCAAGAGCTTTCAATTATGCTCCTGCAATATTCTTTCTAGAAGAAATAAAATCTTTCTTACATTTGGGAATTTCTCTTTTCCCCTAAGGAGCAAAGCAAAGAGCACACTAAACAAAATGGAATAAAACAAAACAAGCACAAGATAGCAAAACACCACAATTTGATAAAATACCACTGCTTTTCCCCCAATTTTTCTCATGCTCCTTTTTTAGACATCTTTAAGATCCCATTAGTTGGTGATGCATTGATATTTAAGCACCTATTAGAAAAGAAATATTATGTTCACTTTGCAGAGGAGGAAGCTCAGCCCTCCCCATAGCCCCAACTCTGTTTCCCTTCCTCTTCCTCTATTTTATAAAAACAACGATGTGAAGCAAGGTGCTCACAGAGCCTGGGTGAGCCTCCAAGCTCCTTGATGCTCTAGTTTAGTTTTCTTCCATGTTGTAACCCATAATAACCACTCAACACATAGATAACACATCTAGCACAAACTAACAAATAGGTAAGAGAAAAAGTTGGAAAATGCTTTGTTTTTTGACCATATTTTACAACTGGATTTGTTTGTCTCACTCCAGACTGCCTATTCTGTACTCTCTACCTGCTCAGGTCAAACCAACTTACAAAATATTGAACAAAGAACCTGTATCTAACTCCTCTGTTTCCATTCTTCCCTTCTGCGAGAAGGGGTTTTCAGCTAACTCCATCCCTACATCATGCCCATGTGGCTCATTTACTGAATCCCTACACATCCTTGGATGTGTAGTTTAAATTCAGTCTCCTCCACGAAGTCATTCCTAACCTTTCTGGCCCAAGTTCACCACTGCTTCTGCAGTGACTCTGTTCTGCATTCTCCAATTCTGTATTTGCCTTGTGTTTTCACTCCCTCAACCTCCTAGATGCCACAGTATCCTGGGAACAGTAATTAGAACATTCCTGAACAACGTTCACTGGTTTGGAGGAACACAGAGTAGGCGCTCAGAACACATGTGATTCAAATACCAAGGCCATTCTTATTTGGAAACATTTATCATGTGAACTGCTGTTTTCCATACTGCTAATCACACAAAACCTTTCTAACTCACTCTCTCCCTGTCTCTTAACAACCTACAACATGGATTATATCACCTTAGTTGAATCCTTCCAGAGATACTTGGCTTAAAAGAATCAACCACCTACTCCTTACAACGGCATTCAGCATTCTATGAACATAACCCAGTTTCCCCTCATACCTCACCAGTACATTCCTACTCTGCAGCCTTAACTCCAGCCCAAGATGGTTGTGTGGGCTACTTGTTTTCTGGTAAGTTCTAACCATTTCATGGAAGCAATGCTCTCCTCGTATTTCCCCTGTGGCTTCAATTTTTGGTTACTAGTCCTTCATTTAAATTCAAGGTCTAGGTCAAGAGTGTCTAGACACCTTTGTAATTTCTTGCTTTCCTGTACAACTTTGCCATTACCAGGATATTTTTATATTCCTTGTAATAAACTAGTTTTCTCAATGATTGTGCAGTACCAGTTGAATAATTTTTATCTCCAAAGTTTAGATAAAGAAACTCAGTTAGGTTAATTGATTTTTCCAAGAACACATGACCAGTGAGTTATAAAAGCTACCACATGTTTTCAACCAGGGGTGATTTTGCACCCCTTCCCCCTCCCCAGGGGAAACCTGGCAACGCTTAAAGACACTTTTGGCGGTCACAACTGGGGTAGGGTCGGGGGGAGTTGCTACTAGCATCAAGTGAGCAGAGGCCAGGGATGCTGCTAAGTATCCCACAATGCACAGGTCAACTGCCACAATACAAAATTACTTGGTCCCAAGTGTCAGTCATATGGAGGCTGGGAAACTGTGAGCATATCTCGTGTATATATATGTATAATATGTATAATACATATATATAGCCCCTAGCACATAGCTCGCACATGGTAGGAGATACATAAGTGGCAGCTAGTGTCTTAGCATGCTAAGTTCCATTGGCACCTGTCCAAGAATATTTTCTCCTCTTTGCCATGCGCAGTGCAGTCTTGTTTAGCATTTGGACTGAAAGAATGTCTGAGAAATGATTCTAAAAAGGCACAAGTGAGTCCAACTGGACATTTTGCTTTCCTCATTGCCTTCTTAATCACCTAAGACCTGACTTTCTTCTCACATAGTACTTAAGCAACGTCAGGGAAGTAATTGACATACCTAGGCTTCAACCAATGATTAGGCAGATGACTCTATACCTTCTTTTATATCTGTAGTCAATGAAGGCTGACACCCTGACGGGTAATATGACTACTTAACAATTACAAGAATTATAGGATATCCATGGAAGTGCTGTGTCTGCTGAAATAAGGTGTCAGTGCCATGTTATGAAACCTGAAGCCAGCAGAGGTTCCACTAATAACTACTATAGAGAGAAATGGCTAACTCAGGAAAGTTCCATTTTCACACTGATAGGGAGGATGAGGATAAGAAATGCAGAACTGCCTTTCTGGATTAAAGTGAGAAAAATTACATATGACCATGGCCTTTGGGAAACAAATCTGACAAACACAGAAATGAATCCATAACACAGCTGAGTTCTACTTAATAGGACATAACATGAAAGTTTCTGGGGTAAGCTGGGAGTGCCCTTGGCTCCTTCTTGTTGATTTACAATGCATGTTAGCACATTAAACAGTCTGAGATCCCCTGGGGAATCCAAGGTGAAGGAGAAGTATGACTGCATAGTATCAAAAAAAGGGAAACAAGTCTCTTGCTAAGGAGAAGATTAAATAGGTTGCTTGCTAATAGGCCACTTAAAATTGAGCAGCATCTCCTTTGTCCAAGGCTGAAACTGAAAGATACCTTGAAGCATATGGTTGTGACCAAAGAGAGCCAGAGCCTAAGGCCTCAGATGAGGGGTTCCAAGTACAAGAACATCCCAAAAGGATCCATAGGACTGTGCAGACCTGTCTTTAGCAGTGGACACCACGTGGCATTGAGATGCATGACAATGGTTATTAGAACACACTTTTCAGTTCTTTCTGCACCTGAATTTGAAGCAGGATCCATTCTGCATTTCACTGAGCTGGTCCGTATTTTGGGGGTAGGGCTTAACAAGAGAAATGACCCTTCAAAAGGAAGATACTAGATTTCTACCCATACTCCAGGAATAAACTGGGAGGATGAAGAGGTGACATCACATCAAGTTAAAGAAGATCAATTGATTTACATGGATAGCAGTTTCCTCCCACCTCCATTATCTCATTTTTTTTTCATGACTGTAAGCATCCCTGTAGCTCACTGTCTTCTTCACACAAGTAGAAATTCAGGATCTTGAGTAAAGCATCATTGTGGAAGATAACAGCTTCATTTAGAAACCTCTTTGAAACATACAAGGAGGTCGATGGCCTATGTGCCCTTAGGAACTGTTCTTCTGGAGAAAACCCTGCTTTTAGTTCTCTTCCTGTAGAGACAGACAGCTCAGGAAAAAAGGGAGGGTTCATTTGCTCCAGGTGAAACATCTGACCAAATTGGTAGCTCTCCCTTTTTAAAAAAACTGAAGTACAATTGATTTACAATGTTGTGTTAATTTCAGGTGTATAGCACAGTGATTCAGTATTTTTTGCAGATTATATTCCATTAGAGGTCATTCCACGATACTGGGTATAAGTCCCTGTGCTGTGTGGTGTCTCCTTCTTGCGTATCTAGTTTATGTATAGTAGTTTGCGTCTGTTAATCCCATGCCTCTAATTCACCCCCCCACCCCAGCCCTTTCCCCTCTGGTAACCGCTAGCTGGTTTTCTCTGTCTGTGAGCCTGTTTCTGTTCTGCACAGACATTCATGTGTGTCAGTTTTTGCTCTCCCTTTTAAGACGGGGAAAAGGAAGAGTCAGAGCACGGTTGGCAGTGGCGGGGCGCGCACCTCCTGCCCGTCTTTGCTGACGTCGTCCTCGGCATGCCTGGCCACGATGGAGAGGAACTGCAGCAGGCGGTGGAGCGTGTCGCAGTTGCAGGGAGGTAGAAGGTAGATGAGGAGCTGCAAGGTGCTCAGCTGTTCCTCTGGCTCCAGCACTAGGGAAGGCAGAAAGAGGTGCTCGGAGTAAGTAAAAGGGGGAACTCACACCACTCAGACCCAGAGTCTCAGGCCCCCTCTCAGCTGTCTTCAGAAAGGCATTAGCAAGACAAGTCACGTTTCATTCCTTCACCCACTCTCCTGTCGGTTTAGCTATGTAGCAGTAAGGTTCTGAAGCATATAAAGATAAATTACACCCAGGGAAATGTAACACCTAGAGCAGTCTTGACAATCCAGGTTTGAAAGCTAACTTAATTCCTCTTACTTTCTTTTGTCCGCTTTCCTTGGTCTAAATCATCACATATTTTATGGGTTATAGTCTTTCATGGTTGGTAATTATTTGCTAATAATGACTGAGAATTGGTGAATGTTCTAAAATCTGAGTTGATAACAGATACGAGGTCCTTTTCTGTTGAGCAGTCTACAAGCGGTAGACTTTTTTTGTTGGCAGTAACCAAGACACAACACAATGACAGTATCTTGTCTCTCTTTTGTGATCCTATTTTAATTGCAGCCTGGAGGAAGAAATACATGGAGGCGGAAACATCTCTGGCCTGTTCCTCCTCCCCCTTGCCCTCCTTTTCTCCTCCGTGGGATCTGTGCTTATAGCCCCGAAGCAGCCACACTAAAAGTCCTGGCACTGGGCTGTGCCACCCTGCTTCCCCTGGAATGTTTCCTACCCCCTTTTCTCACTCTGGGTTCCAGAAATGCAAACTCATTTTTAGGCAAAGACCCAACATGAACTCTCTCTGTTACTCCAAGGCATCAATTTATAGCATTCTCTATTGCCCTAGAGTCATTTGAAAGCATCCCAGATTCTCTCGGCTACTTCCATTTGTTTTACTGCAACTTTCTTCTGGCTAATTCTCCCCAGAGTAAATCTCAGAAAATTCCCCAAATAGCCCACTCATTAGAGACCAACAAATAAGGGCAAAAAAAGTTATCAGGCAACACATGCACTAGGTTTTGATGAGTGAGTTGGACATCCCAGCAATCCAGGGACACATTCCTGCAAATGGCTGGATTACGCACAGAGAGTATTGATGAAAGCTGTGTACAGCTCCCTGGTGAGAAGGGGGTCCGGCATGTCCCTCAGGAACTCCTTCAACAAGGCCGCCACATCATGAACGCTGTGCTCCTCCTCCAGAGAGACATCAACCCCACGGTCAAATTCCTCACGTAGCTGGAAAAACAATGGTTCAAATGGCAGTCTCATAACACCATACCTCAATGTTCGGTGCCTAGCAAAAGAAGTGCTGTGACATGCAGCATCTGGTATTAAGTTCACCCAGATCCCAAGAAGGAGAAGCAAACAGTATGTCACCTTGATCTACAGAGTCTATGCAACCCAGCCATGAATATATATATATATATTTAATGTATATTAATTATATTAATATTATATATAACATATTTATATTAATTAATAAATATATATAAAATATACATATTTAACTGTGTTATTAAATAAAAGTATCTATGGGTTTTCTGTTAACGATGCAAGCAGAAGGTTGTGAGGAAGAGCTGAGGGGTGAGGCCAATTATAAATGTGGGAGGGAGGAATTAATCTATTACACAGCAGTTTTGCACATCAGCAAATTTATCACGTTGGAATTCTGACATCTTACAGAAATGCTCAACAAGAAAGCAAAGAGATTTTTCTACAAACAATGAAATTAAAACCCCTGATAAATCATTTGTGATTAAGGCTTGAAAGATGACAATAGCTAAATAAAATCTGCCTTAGATTAATCAAAGTAGCCTTATGAACAATTCTCAGGAAGATCCCCTGCCTTAATCATTATATTAGCATTTATAGCATTTATAACTGTAGGAAAACACAAGAGCAAGAAGAAGAGAGTGAAGACTCTACACCCTACTTTCACCTCAGACAGCTCAACTTCTCTTATGTATTGTTCTCTACTGTAAAAATAACCATGTGATTTCATGAATCCACTCTATGCAATAAACTTCTGTAAGTGTTCATTTGCTCATTCATTCATTCATCCATTCATTCAGCAAAGATGTACTGCACACTTCCTGCCTGTACCCAGCCTTGCTATAGGTCCTCAAAATATGGTGATGAATAAAGAGTCACAATCCTTACCCTTCTCCAGCTCCCAGGCTGACAGACAGGTGATAAACTGGCAATCCCACAAATGATTAATTAGCTCTAATATTCACTATTTATTAATTGTGACAATTGTTCTGAAGAAAAAGTATAGGGTGCTAAGAAGTGATATAACAAGATAAAATGGTGAGTTAGAGCATATTTCATACTTGAAATCTAATCACTGATTTATATATATATAATACATATATAAAAATATATTATATATATAAAATATATATATATATATATATTATATATGTATATATATATATATTTTTGAGAATCCTATGTAAGTCTCCATGCAAAGGTTTTCTCTTTGGTGGATCCAGATAAAACTGAGGAATAATTTCTGACACTAGCCACCTCTTTACCTGATGAGAATGCCCATTACTGTCCCGAACTGCTCATCAATTCCAGGCAACTCATCTTACTGTGGATCCGGTAGCTAGACGAACAAGGCTTCCATCGGCATCACTCCTACTTGTGATTATTCAAACACACCATGTTTCTTTTTTGAGTGTGTGCGCGCGCGCGCACACACACACACACACACACTCCCAGAGAGAATGGACCATGGAAAGAGCATGGTCTAAATTGTGTGATCTTGAATTAAATTCCTTAATCTCTCTAAGCCTCAGAAGAAGTGGGTGAAAGGGGCTTCTCTCACAGCCAGTGGGCAGGTTCAATGAGATAATGCTTATGAAAATATTCTGCAATTCTGCACAGGTGAGAGGCCTAAGAAATGTTACTATGCTATCTTTCTTCCTACAAGTCCTATTGTGAAATGTTAAATATTGTTCAATAGTCTCTTGTGTGACTATTAAAAAGAAAAACCAGCCAACCAAACAAACAGAAAACATACTTCTTTCAAAAGCCCCTTTTGTCTTGACAAAAAAAAAAAGCAATATGAGGAGGAATTTATTTCAGTTAGTTTCAATAATATGAACAAATAGTGTTTCTTCGGCTTCATCCAACTAAAAATTATTTTCATTTGGCTTCATTTTTGAGTTGCTGGGTTCCTTACTTCTTTCTGTTGGAACCAACAGAGGGAAAATAACATTTTAATTTTCTTTAAGCCAACAAATGAATTCTTTTCTCAAAGGGTGGTTTGTCTTTTATGAAGCCATCATGAACACAGATATCAGCCTGACCATAGGAGCCTATTCCTGAAGCTCTAACACCAAACTTGTTTTGCAAGAACACTGCAAAGTGGTGAAGGAAACTGAGGGATACAGTTCCCACATGGAAAATGAATTGTGGATCAATAGTTCCATGGAAAAGTAATAGGAATTATTTATTTCTGCTAAAGGAAAGCTGTAAACATAGCATTCTAAAAGAAGAGACAGTTAATGGCATTATTCATTGTGCATTTTAGTAAAAATGGGTGCTATACAATTGTTTTCTATTTATTATCGCTTATTGATCAGATACTCTCTGAATCTCCTGCTTTTATAGGTTCAGTAAGATGTTTATAAGTTAGTTTTGTTTGGCTGTACAAGTCATTGACACGTTCAGAGGTTTCACTTTTAACTGTTTGATCCTAACTCTATCACAACCTTTCTGAGCTTCTGACTTGTTGCCTTTTATTTCTTGGGACTCGATTATACTATAATCAGTGGGAGGGTACAGAAAAGATATTCAGAAATGAATTTGCATAAGCTTCAACTTTGCATGAGGCTGTTCAAGTAATGGTCAAGTGAAATGTACAATGCAATCTTCACTTTTCACTTACTTGTCTCACTCTCTTTTTTGAGCTTCCAACTCGGAATATCCCCACTGTCTGGAGGCCTGCAAATAAGCAAACAAAATTGTCAGCCTTGTTTTATGGTTTGAAACTGGAGGAAATCAAAATAGATATAAGACAGAATATAAGCCAGCACCACACTGCAACATGCAGGGCAACGGTAACTTGACAGTGTGCACTAATGCTTATTTTTCCATCTATATCCATGTATATGTACGTATGAGATGATATATATGATGATAATGATCATATATATATATACAGAGAGCGAGCACATGCTGCTGCTTTTACTCAATCTCATGCCACAAGAAGTTTTATGCTAGTAAAAAATCCTTGTAAATGTCATTCAAAATGGATGCAAATTACTCTATAGCATGAATGTGCCACAGTTCACTTCATACTTTCCTCTGAATGGCCTATAGGTCCCCCTAACACACATGCACTTGTTTTGCTACCATAAATAGCCCTATTATGAACAACTCTGTATATAGGTCTCAATTTCCATTTCTGATTTTCTTAAGATCATGTCCTAGAAGTAGGATTATACGGCCAACGCATAAAAAAGAGTTATACAGCTAAACAGGTCAGTTGTGCAGAGGTTGACAAACCCTGCTCTAAAACATCAGGTCTCTTAAAAGAAAAACAAATAATATACCTAATACACATTAGAAATTTCAACAATATTTCCTTAATATCATTAAATTTCCAGTCCACAGTCACATAAGGTTCACAAACTGTGGTATGTTGGTGTGCCTTGTAGTCTCTTAAAGTGTATGTTTGCCCCTCTCTGTTTGTATTTTTTCCCCGTAATTGGTTTGATGAAGAAATAGCACTGATTTCTCACTGTAGATTTCCCCACTGTCTGGATGTGGACACTCCGCGGTGTCATTTATATGTTCCTTTCTCCCTTTTATTTCCTCTAAAGAGACAGAGCCAGAGTTTTCTCTGATTCAGGTTTGAATTTTGTAGCAAGAAAACTTCATAAGATGTATTATGCACTTCCTTAAGGGGGCACAGAAGGTCTGAATGACTCTGCTTTTCCTGTGCAAGCCATCGGTCATCGCCACTGATGATCTCCGTCTACATTTATTGTTTCATTGGTGGCTCATCTTCTCTTCATTAGAGATAATCAGTTATAAGGATGATGCCAAATTGCAGCTGCCAATGGCCGTTCTGTAGCCAAATGAAGAGAGCTGGTCTGAGAGTAAACAGACCATGCAACACAGCAAACAGGCCAGAAAACAGACTCGTGCTCTCAACGGCATCATTCACGTCCTGGATCCACCTGTGCCTGAATCTAGATACAGTATTCAGACTTCCAGTATGTAAACAGGATTTTCTGGGGGGGGTGTGCTTTGCTTAATCAAGTTTTTTTTGGTTTTGGGGGGGTAATTAGGCTTCTTTATTTAAATGGAGGTACTGGGGATAGAACCCAGGACCTTGTGCATGCTAAGCATGCACTCTACCACTGAGCTAGACCTTCCCCCCCTCCGCTTACTCTAGTTTTATCTGGGTTCCTCTCTCTTGCCACTGGAAGAGTTCTGACTCGTCCAATATATAATTAAATTGGAAAGAATTTAGATATTTATAACATTATTTCTTTCAATCCAGTAACCAAGTAGACACCTTAATTTGTTTCTTAATTTTTTAATCTCTTGGTAAAGCTTTGCAGTTTTCTTCACAGAACTTTCTTCCTTCTCATTACAGATATTCCAGGTATATTATATTTTTGATATGAATATAAATGAATTATTTTATTGTTATAGTACATAACTGATTATTTCTCTTATATAAGACATGGATATCCTTTTGTATATTTATACCATGGTCTTGCCACATTGTGTATTAACTATAAGACTTTTAAAATTGATTTTCTAGAGTTTTTCAGTTAGAAAAGATAATATCCATAAATACTCCATTTATCACTTCTATATCTTATAAGTGTTATCCTGAATTTCCAGAATAATTTGAGAAAATCATGCTGAGAGGCTAGTTACTGTTCATTTGCATGAGTACATCTTGGTGATTTGCTCTTGGGTGGAATTTTGCTTTGCATCTATTTTCAAAAGATGTCTGTGTCTTCCGTGTTGCTGCCATCAGCTTGTCTCCCTCATAACTGAGTCCAACCCTCAGCCTAATTTATTGCTTCTACCTCTCTGGGAGCTTGAAAACAGGAAAATCAAGGTATTAGAATCAAATACAGAATTCTATTTATTCATCTACAAAAATGAGCATAAGAAGTATCCACTTGAAAAGATGTGCACTGATTCAGTTACTGAATGTATATAAAATTCTTAAAATTGTACCTGGCATCTACTGTTATATATAGTGATATAGGCCCTAAGTGAGCCGAATGAGTCTTTTTGTGCAAAACAGAAAACTTTTATATAATGGTAGGTTTTAGCAATTTTGGGGGGGGGGCAAGGAATAGTGACTTTATTCGGAAAGCCAAAGACCAAGAGGATGGCAGACTAATGTCTTGGAGAAGCATCCTGCTCCAGTCAGAATACAGGCTCCTTTTATACAAAAAACAGGGGAGAGGGTGTGGTTTGTTGTTGTAAACTTCTTGTTGCAGGAGTTCTTTGTTCTTGCAGCTGTCCACGTGGGTCAGGCCATGGTCTTGTAAACCAGATTTTTGGCGTCTTTGTCTTTTGAAGAGGATGATGTTCTGTCAGAGTTCCGCAGGTGCTCTGGTTGGCTGAGTGGGTCCGTGGATGTGAGTCTTGGTGTATCTGTGGGAGGGGGTGAGCTACGAGTGGGGTGGCCTCGTCTCAGTCTTAGCAATTTTAATTTTGGCTGGGTTTATTTTTTGTTGGTCTGATGGTTTCCAAATAGCTGAAATTTCTACATAAGTGAGATGTCACATAAAGTAGGTCTATCCTTTGGCTGAATTCTTCCAGTCTGTTTGAAAATGTCCATTTCTATGACAGTGTTTCCTCAAATTACAGCACTTTCCCACTCATTAAAAATGACTGTGATTAAAAAAAAACTAGCTAGTGATTGACTGCTTTAATTTCTATGTATCAATTAATTATACTCTATTTTAAGGTTTTAAAAATAATTAATTAATTTTAGGTAGAGCAGATGAGTCTTCAGACAGCTAATGCCGTTCTCTGACACAAGTCTTCCAGTCATTTTCCTCAAAGACAAGATACAGTCTAGGCATTTAGTAACCTTGACTTAAGACAGTCACTGATTAAAAACAGGTGTACATCGGAAAGGGCATATATCTGGCAGAGAAATGTGACCTTGCTGTATCCTGTCCCAGAAATGGACGTGATCACCTTCCTCTCCTTTTCATCAGAAACTGAAACAGAAAGTAGACCCAGGCTTAGGGAATTCGAGTAATCAGGAGGCCCCAGCCTAAAGTCAGCCTACATGCCAGAAATATAATAGAGTTTGACTCTTTGTTATACTGGCTGTTTTGTTTTTGTTTGAAATGTGTGCTTCTGGGAAATTAAGGGTTGGCCTAAGAGCACAGAAAGCATTTGGGTGAAGGAAAAGTGGGGAAGGGCGGTGGACATGAATACCGATGGAGTCAAGATAATTGTCCAAGAACAATTTGGGACAGAATGGAGAGATCTCTGACAAATGTTTACAGGGCTAAAGTGAATCAAACTCTCTGCTACCCACTTCAAAAACTGGCAAACAACGTCTTATGAAGGAGGTGCTTCTGAAGTTTGCCTTTTTTTCGTTGCTTGAAGGTGCCCAAGATTCGTATCTCTTTGAATCTGAAACTGTCTTTTATTTTTCCAGAGCCATTTGGGCTAAGCGCCATGGAAACTTGGAACAGAATCAGGGCCTTGAAAGATCAAGCAGGTTATCTTCCTTCTCTTAGGTCTTAAACTGCATTGTAACTATTTCCCCCAACCCTGGCAAAAAAAGTGAACTGCTCTGTTTCGAGTAATCTTAAAGGAAATGCAATTTTACAAATGATAATTCATGAAAGTTTATTTTCAAAAAGAAAACAGAAAGACATACCAAGTTTTCTTTCACAAAGCAGTTACTCAACCTGGCACTGCATTTTTGCATGAGTGGAATAAAATTTTCTCATTTAGAATTCTAAAATGCTTACAGTTTACTCTCTACATTCTTTATAGGGAATATTTCTAATTACAAAAGTATGAGCCTCTTTTTCTACCTCATAGGAAAGTTTAGGCTGAATTTACATATTCATAGTACTGAACTCTTCCTATGCTATTTTAAGAATAATTCTGTTCAAGTAATAATGATTGAACATTTTCATTGAGTTATCATGATACGAACTATTGGAAATTCAAAATGACTAAGACATTTTTCTTGACCTTCAGTTTACCTTCCAAGGAAAAGAGACAGATAAACACACACATACACACATACACACACATACACATATTAAATTTTTGTATAAACAATGTTTTGATACTTATTAATCTTACTGTTACCCATATATTATGTAGTGATTTCCATATATAATGAGTTGATTAAGAGATCTGGATAGATCCTTAATAATTTGTATAAAGTCTTACTTTTATTAGAAAGAAATAGTGAGAATGTTAACAGCAGCTATGTCCATATGATAGCCTCAGAATTTGCTTTTCTGTTTTTTTCTTTATTACAATGAGTATATTATTTTTGTAGCAAAAAAGCAATTACATTGCTGTATGTCAATTAATTCTCAATAAAACTGGAAAAAAGAAGAAATGAATAAACTCTCATCCTGTCCATAAAATGCGTTCTAACAATACAGCAAACACATTCAGATTGTAGAAATGGCAGTTTGAGGAGCCAAAAGTCTAAAGTTTGGCAAAAAGTTTAAAGAACTGTGCATTATTTTTAAGTCAGCATATTAAGTGGAACTGAGTTGCTGAAAGAGTTTTTGTGAAGAGATTTTAAGCGGACATCTTTCCACAAAAATGCAAACAGCAATATAGAAACCTATTGTCCCAAACTATGTATTTCCTATTCACTTAAGGAACGGGTTTCTAATTTGTTTTCTTTAAGAAGCTAGATTCTTAATTTTTTTAAAGGAAGCCTTGAGTAACCTCAATGTATAAAAAAGATAAAAGTGGCTCTGCTTTGTTTGAAGCGAGTCCTGGAGGATAGATCCAGCCCAACAGATCTTGCCGTCCCCTCAACTACTTGGCCTCCAGGGTCACTTCTGAGGACTCTTTGGGGCTGGGGAGTCTGAATACTACCAAGCTGATTTCCCCCCACACACAATCTTGTTCAGCCGGACTGAAGTTAAAGGAAACTTTGGCCCACAGCCTGATCAAATGAACACAGAGCTGAGATTGGGTGCTTAAATGAATAATGCTTGAATAAATGAAGGTCTTTAGTACCTGACAGCTGACAGACAAGTCTACTTACCATGTTTTTCTAGATGTTGACAGCAGCTGTCCACCAGCCTGGGGACCTGTCTGTAAATAGGATTCAGACTGAGTTTCTTATCTCTGGCTTTTTCTTTTTTATTTGGAGCCTCAGCAGGCAAGGAGAGTTGTAAAGCTTCCAGCAGTCGAGACTGATTGTCATCAAGATCGGTGATAGAATCCACTGACATTGCACCCTGCAAAAAAACAGACATGAACGAAGAGTGCAGACACAGGAAATAAAAACAGCTTCCCCCAATGCTATCCAGTGAATACTTCTGCCCATGACTATTTATCATACTTGAAATAATACTGTTTGGTCTAATGGTGTTTTTTGTATAGTAAAAGGAAAAAAACAAACACCTTTTGAAAAAGTTAGGAAACCTCCACAATATGGGGTAAGGTAATGAGTTACAATTTCAGCAATAGACAACTTTTTCCAAATGGAAGACAAGAGATGGCAAACATACAATTAAAATATTTTGACCCAACCACTTCATTCCTTGAAACAAGAAAAAATCACATACTTGATGAATGAGGTAAAGTCAGAGAAGTCTTGTGAATAAAAAAATAACTCCACTATGATTCTAGGAAGCAGATTTTTAAATAGGAGGATTCCATAAACAGTCTTAGTTTGGTTTCCCCCAGAAGTGACACAACATACTTTATTAGGGTAATAGTCCCAGGGGACAGCAGTATATGAGAAAGGGAAGTGAAGGCAGCCGTTGAAGGGAGCATCATGAAGCCTACAACAAGCCTGTGGGCAGCTGCAGCCCAACTGTGCTGGGGACCTCTGAGAGACCATGTATATCACGCACTTCAGAGCTATCCTGGCTAAGAAGCCAGGGAACTGGGGTATTTATACCACAAGGTTCATGAGTCATTGATTAAGGGCAGCTTCTGGTAGGGATCAGGAGGTGACATTGACGCCTTGCTACTTGCAGCCTGTCATCTGCATAGGTGGGTGCTTCTGGCCATCAGAGAAAGCCTCCAGCCAAGAGAAGAGGTAATGACAGGTGGAAGGAGTGCTGGCATGCAAGGAATGGTAAAGGCTGAGGGTAAGGGCGCAGGGCAACAATGATGTCTGTATGGTCACTCACTCTTTGATGAAGCATAGAGGAAGAAGTTGGCTGCTGGTGTCCTAGCAAAGCCTGGACAGAGGGGAGGGCATTTGGGAGGCCCATGGCCTGGGCTCTAGATTCTCAGAAAGCTCATATGTGGAGTTTTGGTGTTATTGCCATAAAGGCTTATACACACAGTCTGAGAGACCATGACAGGACTGGAAGAACAATTCCATCAAGCAAGTTCAAATATTACATAATGTTGTCTTCAAACACAGTGAAGTGTCTGAAAACAGTGGTGGCTCAGGTACCCTTCAATCTTGGAGAAGTCTTAAAGTTGGGAGCTAATTGAGAACTGTGGATTTTAACTGAGAAGTGTCTGGGGTTTTAACTAAGGCAGTAGTCAATGGCTGGAGGTGGCAAAGATTTGGGTCTCCAGGTAAGAGGAAAAGGAGAGAAGATTTTCCAGTCACCTAGGAAGTTTCAGAGATGCTTATCAACTGTCAGGTAATCACCAACCAGTATGCCTTGGAAACTTAGCTTTCCTGGATTGAAATATGAATTTGAAATACCAAGTAACAGCACAGTGCCTGGAACATGGTACTCACTTCATAAATGGCACCATATTGTCACACTATTGATTTGAAGGAGGGTATATATGTGTATATGTGTTTCTAAGGTTATGTTTGAGAAAAAAACATGTTCCATTGATGAGAAGATATCTCATTGTTTATGAAGACCAGCATCAAACTCACTCAGCCAGGCTTAGTCCTTGGATGAGATGAAGAGATTAACAAAAGCACCTGGTCCTGCCTTCAAGCCTCACCGTCTTATGGGAAATTCTGCTACCGCAGCAGCAGATTACACTAGAGCAGGATCAATGGTGATGTAGTAGAACATTCAGGATATCACAGGTAACCAGGGAGAGGCACCCAACATCTTTGAAAGGGGTCAGGGAAATGCTGGAGGGTGTGCCAGGTGACTCAGGGCCAGTACAGATTCTCCCTGAATGGGGTTGTTGACAGATACCTGGACAAAAGCTACACTTCCAGTTCTCACATGAGTGAAGACTCAGAGAACAAGCTTATAACTCTTCAGTTGTCTTAGCATCAGTGTCAGAGAAAATACTGGCCAACTCACCCTTCTCCTGGCCCGAGGAGCCGGCTCCGGGGTGTTTGGGGATGTTGACTCATTTGGTGTTTCCGAGGTGGAGCTGAGAGATGAGTTACTGCTTGAGAGTTCTTTGTTTTGCCTTTTATTTCCAAACGGGAGGAGGGACGCCACAAAATCAGATGCATCCTTCTGCTCATCCCTCTGCAAATCCTGCTTGAGTTTATAGGCCCGGTCATTCGCAATGACTTGGGATAAGGGCATTCCAAATGCCTGTGGGATGAATTCTGGAATCAAAAAACAAACATCCACTTTCAGAGAAAGACCGGACCAGGGAAGACTCACAGTCATGCTGCAGATCTGAGGGCAGATAGAGTCAAATGGCTGTTTTCTGAAGAATGGATTCATCCATCAAAATATGGAGATAATTTTGTGTTTGTCAGAATGGCCAAAGTTTCTATTTCCATAAAGAAAGCCAGTATGAATGGAGAACACGGGTTTTAGAAATCCAGGCCTTGAGGTTTTTTGCCACATATCTCAAATATGTTTTAAAAGAAATAACTCTATAGAGAAAGATGACACTTTTGATAGGATATACATCATACTTCATCCTCATGAGTACATGGTTTTACAAACTGTTAGTCTTTGATTTCTGTCTCAAGAGCCCCTGAAGCTTATAAGGCATGAGAAGACTGTGCATGTATACATTCATCCCACAGGCACTTACTGAGCATCTACTGCATGCCATGTCAAGTTATGCAATGGGGAGTACAAAGCTTACAGAAAGTCCAGTCCTGGCTCTTGAAGGGTGCAGAATGTGGGGTGGTGGTGAGGGCAGTGGAGAGGCAGATATTTAAATAATTGTAATAGAGTCTGTCATGTGCTGTAAGAGAGAGATGCAGAAAAACTGAAATTCAGTTAGGTGGCTGCACTTTGAGGTTCCCGGTACAAGAGCCAACACATGAAACCCAAGAGCCAGAGGAGCAGCTTGGGAACTTTGCTCTTTTTTCTTTGTGTTCCTTGTCCCCACATTCTGTCTTCAATGGCTGGGTTGGGGCTGTCACTCTCATGATCTAAGCTCAAGCCATTCTCACATGCAGACACGGACTCTCACCACTAAATATCTCATGAAGAGCCTGGGGTATAATTTATTAAATCCCCTAATAAGAACAATTCGGGGGAAGGAACATAATGCAGAAATCTACTGCTTTATTTGGAGATGTACATTCAGTTGCATTCTGGATCTCTATAGTAAATCCATTTGTATACACGTACGTGGTAAGCACGTTGATGCTTAGGGCCAGGCATTTTATTGGTAATATTTTAAATTCATGCTGAAAAGCATTAATAATTAAATTCAATGCATTATTTCTTTTAGACTCAAAGTTACATCTCCTAGTAGCAGAAAACTGGCGTCCAGCCTCTCCCCTGTTTTTATAACCCTTACGAATAAAACCAGAATGATCAAGGGAAAACAATTCTAAGGTTGTTTGCTCTTTGAAAGCAAAAGATAACTTTAAATCAGGTGGAAAGGGGCTTTAAAAGGTCTTCCTCTTTGATCCATGGCAACATTTTTAGCATCACTAGGCTAATAGCCAAGTCTACATTAAAAGCAGAAATGGCACTTGAAAAGTCTGCACCTCTTGTTCTATCAAAACATGCAATTCATTTTGAAGTGAAAAATCAAAACTTCAGCATTTTGGGATTTTCAGAGGATGCTTATCATTCTCTATCAACAAACTAGATGGCATATGATAACACAAAATAATTTAGGCACTTGTTTTGAGTGATCAGTGTGGACAGTGTAGCAGGATCCAATACTCATGACTGACAAAATGTCATTTCCACTACTAGCAAAATTAGAAACCAAAGGGGACACCTTAGGATTTATTGTGTAAATCAGGGTTGTCTTGTCTATGGAAATAACCAAATAGTCTTACTTCCAAAAATTTTGGGAAAGTCTAGGAACATGTGTATGGCAAGGCTGACAGCTACTCGGAATATACAAGAACTGTTGGGGGATAGTAAGTAGAAAAGACATTGATAAATGTATCAAGTGACATGTGTCTGCTTATTTAGGCACACTCATAGCAGGGATTTAATATGACATGGGGACTATCGATTCCTCCCCTAGACATTTTTCCCACATAAATGAAACCAATCAGACTCGATTAGAGATTTCTAATGTCCCTGGAAAAAAGAAAAAAAGTGCTTTCCTTTGGTAGCTGTCATTGTTAATATCTAAAAGTCTGCCGCTCTCCTTGTAAACTGGAATAACTGAGTACAAATTGAACAGTTGGAATACATGAAGTCATTCTCCCCGAATGACCTTTACTTCTCTTTCATTTCTATTCAAGAGATAAAGCCACCAACAGATTTTTATTTTTCTCTAATAGGCCGTCTTTCCTGGCTGAGTTTATTTCTTCTTTCAGTGCTAGTATTTCGATCTCGTCTCTTTAGTTTCTCATTGCTTTCTCCTGAGAACTTTTACAAGCTTCAGAAAGGAAACAGATCTCTCTACACTCTAAACTTGTATCTCATGCAGTATCTAGTCTCTGGAAAATTCTAGGCAGGGTTTCCTGAATATTACTGCTTCTCAAACTATGGCTATTGTGAAGTTGAGGACTGAGCATGAGCCTATTGAGCAAAACCCTCCTTCTTGTGTAAATAAAGTGTTGGGTACACATGCTTATCTGTGGGTTCAAAGCTCTTCTGTTAGGGGGGAAAAGGAACCTATAGCTTCTGTACTGATAGTGGCTAATAAGATTGATAACAGGTTTTTAAAACCATAAAAACATTACCCAAGACTCACCGTCTGGGGCCAGGGACTATGTGTATCATGTTCTAATCTATGGCATGCGCTAACCAAGGAGACTCCATCCTCCACTGTCCTCATTAGTAGACACTGTCTCTGACTCTCACCATGACCCATGGGGCCAGGAGGGGGTGTGCTCGCCTCTTTGCTCCCTCCTGCAACTTCCAGATCCTCCCCCCGACTCTGTGTGGCAGAAACCTGGTACTGCAAGTGCTCCCCTGGTCTCCTGCTCATTGTGCTCATTGCTGTCTTCTACTGTCACAGTCAGAGCCCCTCAATCTACCATCATCCTGGGTGACGTGGGTGTCTACATAAATGACCATCTGATTCTCTGTCCTCACATCTCCTTGACTTTCTCCTCTCCTCTTACTTTTTTCTGCATATCACCTTTTCCACCAACTCCCTTGGTCCCATCCCGAACCTTATCCTTACCAGAAGTGGTTTGTCTGGAGTCAGGCTTCTCCCTCCACTGCTGTCTCACCTCCACCACAAGTTCATGTTTTCCATTGCGGTGTGGCAATCCACCTCAAGACACCATTAGGTCACCCCCTCCTTGATACATGTTGCTCTTACTCAATGCTCAGACCAAAAGTTGTGCTGTGGCCCGCACCATCCTGTGTGAGGTAGCCCCTTCCTGCTCTTCCCTGGAATCACACTCCCGCCATTTCTCTCATCTCCAGCAACAGCATTCAATACATTTTCTTTGACAATTTCTAAATAGTGAGAACTGACACTTGCTTTTTCTACTGTTATTTAGTGTGCACAAGATAAAGTTTTATCAACTATTCCTATATAGTGCTACTTCACGTACAGTATCACACTTAGACAGTGGGGAACAATAAAACATGGCACATGTAATTGTGGCATAAAGAAAGGTGCTAGACCTGAACTATCACCAGAGTTTATGTTGATAAATCTATGGCATAATGTGCAAATATCCCATAGACAGGGGACCTTTTTCCCAGACTTACGCCACGGTCAAAACTATTCCTCTTGTGTGCTGGTTAGGAACCACACACTCACTGGAACAAAGTAGCTATTTTTAAACCCTTTCCCCCAAAATGATTCTTTTTTGACACAAAAAAGAAATTATCTGAAGTTCTAGATGTTTAAAAAATACTTTTTGGGTGCCAAGTCATTTAACTAAGAGAAATTAAGGACTTGGAATTATTCTATGTGAAAATCTGTTTTCTGAGCCAGCATCAACCCTGAATTAGTTTCCATATGGAAATCAAAAGTAACATGGACACTGCTTAAGTGGCAGGAGGGACACAGAAGTGTCACACGATCTGTTGAATATTATGTCAAGGCAATTAAATAAAACACAGGACATGATTCATTCTGATTGAATCAATTAATATAGCAGTGTATCAAACATATAATGAATCACTCTATTGGGAGAGCAATTCGATTCTAAAAAGCTGTTCCTATTTTTATTTTTAGATGACCTAACCCAAGAGGTCATTTAGAGTTTCCTGTTTTCCTTCTTTTACTCTTGGATTCAAATTATTGCCATTTTTCACATGTGCAGCTGTTATGAACCCTAATGCTAATATTCAAATGGAAGAAAATAATGTGAACTGACCACAACTGTGCGAGACCTGTAGGCTGCCCCATCATATCCTGGTTCCCAGGACATCCATGTAATGGATGTGTTGACATTCACAGGACTTTATGTTCAGAAAAGATGCCATGTAATTAAGCTTCACTTAAGCCTAGGACATCTTCTTTCTAACTATCAAAACTACTTTAAAAAAAGCTTCTTTTGCCATAAATCCTGATATTTCTCTCCTTAGTTGGATGAGTGACACATCTTTTCTTTAGAACCACTAGGATCTGCTTTCCTTTTCCCAGCCAGCTCCCTGTACAGCCTTACAGAACACTGTCAAGTTTTCACTGAGTCTATGTAATATATAAATATGATTTGGTCTGAAATACGTATAATAGCCCCGTGATATTGGTTGATTACTTCCCCTGGGCTTTCCCGCCCTACCCTTACTTCCTGCTGTCTCCTAATATAAGCAAGAGAGCATACATCTCTCTCTGTTGTGGGAATTCAAACATCTGCAAAAAAAATGCTCATTCTGCTTAGTTTAGCCTGAGTGGGCACTTTTGAAGAATCACCTAAAGTCTACAGTATGAGTGTTCAGGTCCCAGTACCAGTGTCAACACCCTAGAATAAACAAATTTAAAGATAACGCATTACTAATGTTAGTCTGAATGATCCCTTTAATAACTCTATAAACACCGAGAATTACTCTAATCTAATGATGTAAAGATAGTCCATGGCAGGAAGAGAATGAGTGAAAACTCTACTTTAGAAAAGCTACCCTAGCTACTAATTTTCATTTAAAAAATAAGGGCAAGGACATATGAATCAATTCAACAGAATACAATTTATCAGACAATGATAGGTTGCTGGACAAGAGTTAATGTTTTTGCACCCATTATTCCAGCAGCAGATTCTGCTGTGATAGGATGTGCCCTGGTGAATATACTGGTTAGTGTGTACCATAGTTCTTATCTAGAAAGGGGAACATTAGCACTTTATAGAATTACACATGCTCAGTATCCCTACAGCAGACCATTGGGATCAGATATTCTGGGGGTGGAGTTCAGGACATTGGAATTTCCACAATGGAAAGGTTCCACAAATTATTCTACTATGCTGTCAGGGGCAGGGATCACTGACATTTTCATCTCCTTGTCTCCAGTTTGAAATAAACATTTGAAATGTCTGGAGATATTCTGGCTGGGGGTGGTGCTACCGGCAGCTAGTGGTAGAAATCTCACACTATGTACAAGACAGCCCCCACCACAAAGAATTATCCAGTTTGGGATGTCAATAGTCCCAAGGTTGAGGAATCATGCTCTAAGGGAAGCAAAACTCTGGCTTTTCCATTCTTTAGAATTTTTTAACTCCTTTTAGTCCAAGAACCCAATGTCGTGACCCTTTAGGCACAGTACAAGATATGGCTGTAGAGTCTGGGATCAATGATGTGGACTAGGTCTTGTCTCATATTTACCACCGTGCATTTATTTTCATAGCTTCAGTTTCATTGCCTTTCATAAATTTTCAAGCAGAAATTCAATCATTATATCAAAGAACTCCAATGTGAGACATATGGCGTGGCTCTCCTCACTCAACACTCAATCACTGTGTTTCATAAAATGACCACAAATACCTCTGAAAAGAGTGGCTAAAGTGTCAGTTCCTAAGTATACATAGAAGGGGACAGTATGAAGAGTCAACAATTTCTAAAACATACAGGGCAAAAAATAAGCATGCTGTGTGATCTAACATTAACATGCTGAGAAAGGCCCATCTTCAGTAACTTGGTGAGACTGTTCTTTCCAGTAGTCATGGTAAGCAAATCCAAACTCTTTCTCATTCAATTAGCCCTGTCTAACTATGGGGATTTGCCAGACAGCTGGTTAGCGTTAGAGATGCTATCCATGGCTACTCAGCCCAGGTTTTCCTTCTGCATTGCTGATTGGCCAGCATCATAATTGGAACCATAGATTTGGCCCAAGTCACACTTTGCTCAAACCAGTTGAACTCATCAATTCGGTACACGGCCATTCAAATAAAAAAGAGTAGACCCAAACCGTCTTTAGTGGCAGTCCACCATAGAAATCCACTTTACATAATAGAGTTGAACCACGTAAATCTATGCAATTCAAAAACCCCACCAAATTCAACCATTATGCTCCATGGAAGATGCATTTGCTTTCATTCATTCTGTCCTTTACCTCTGTCTTTGTTTTTCTCCTTCCCTAGTGAATCCAGTTTCTTTCTCAAGGATTTCTTTCTCTTTTGTCCATCTGTAAATATTAAAAGAATGAAAAGTTGTAAAAACAAGCATATAAGTGATATTTTACATGATCAATAACTACATTTAAGCAAAAGCATGCCTTCTCGCTTTACTCTTAACTTGGCATTTTAAACAGAGTAATGGCTCTGAAAATACATGAAAATCCACATAACCAGAATCTTGGTACACACTCTTAAATTTTGTTTCAATCATGGAAAGAACAGGAAACATACCTCTTTCAGAAGTAATTTAGTTTTGACACTTAGATATGTTCACTTTTACTATTATATGAGTCTCTTCCTATCCTTCATGTTTATACAAACCAACATCACCTTGAACTAAATCTCCATCAGAGGAGAGTCAGCAGTACATAAGGCTGTGACATCCATGAGCTAGTAGAGTGTAACTGGATGAGGAAATAAATTTGGGGGTCCATAGAACTCAAATCTAATTACCGCTGCAACTTTTACTATGTGACTTTGGCCATGTCTCAGTGTCCACACCTATAAAATGGGAATTTTGCAGAGGTGTGAGAATTAAATAAAACAATGCATACAAAGCACTTGATGGGGAGCCTGATGCATGTCCATAAATTCAGATCTACTTTCTTTTGGAGATAGGTTGCATAATATTCCATAGTATAGCTATGCCACAATTTAATTAACCATTCCCCTACTGATCGACATTTGGGTTGTTTCTAGTTTTTTACTATAATAAGTAAGGCATTTACTAGTAATAAGTATAATAAGTAAGGTGTTTATCTTTTAGTATCTTGTACTTGCAACAAATGTATTTAGTACGTCTGGTTAACTCACCAAATAATACAGATACCACTCATATCAGTAGGCAGCTGTAATTGAATTCCTAGGATGTCATCATAAAATACTGGCAGTCATCATTGCAAGAATGCATTTTGGGATAATGCAGCTGTCAACTTAATGTGTGGGAGGTGCAAATCGGGAATCCACACTGCTATCAAACAGGAGAAATTCAGCGCATGCCACCGGGAAACTTATGTTTAAACAGGGGATTAAGAATCAGTTTTTTCACAAGCTATACTTAAAAGTGTACTAAAGAAAGAGATTCAGCCCAATAAAACTTAAAGGCAAGATTCTGATATCAGGAAAAGACAGAGTAAGCATTCTTGAGCAGAAATGAGCTGGGGTCCTCATGGGGCTGCAGATGCTCCCAATGCCTCCTCTTGGAATTTTTGGAGGCAGAAGACATCACAATATAATCACAGGCACAGTCAATCCCTCCTCCCTTTCAACAAGCAATTAAATATTTAAAAAATGACTCCTCCCACCAATAAAGTGGAAATAGTTCATTAGTCTTTACTCTTGCAGTTATGAGATTTGTATAGGGGAAAGTTACGTAAATCAGCTGTGATGTGGCAAAGAGCCGTCAATCTCTTTCATCATGGGTATGATCTCTCAGTGTCTAAAAGATGATCTCACCATAGGGCCTACCATGACTTATCAGATACTTACACACAAACAACATACTAACTGCACATGATTCTGACCTGTTCTCCAAATAGGACTGACAGGTATTTTTACTTTGCAATGCTTTGGTTATCATTAGTTCATGTCACCAAATGTATTTGACTGTAACAAGAGCATATTTCCTTTTTAAATTTTTTTCTTTTTGTATGTATGGGAAGATAATTAGGTTTATTTATTTATTTAATTTTTAAAAGATGGAGGTACTGGGGATTGAACCCAGGATGTTGTGCATGCTAGGCATGCACTCTACCACTGAGCTATACCTTCCCCCCTCATATTTCTTTAAAAATTTCTACCATTCTTTCATTTTAATAGTTGACTCAGAAGAATAACTAAACCATATATTAAAACTTAAGAAATTTATTTTTCATAACCAGTGGACAGATACTAAAATTCAAACTAGTTGTCAAAAACCAGAATACATATAGGAAAGGGGGCATTTTCTTTTAAGATACAAGGAGTTTTGTAAACTTCTTTTTAATTAGGGGATGTATGATATATGTAGATGTGTATACATACAGATGTACAGTTTTAGTAATACTTAGGAAGTTAACTCTCAGATAACCAACAGCCAGATTCAGATGTACACTATTGCTAGTACCCAAGGAGCCCCCGTATGACTCCCTCCCCGTTACCCCAGGTAACCACTGGTCCGACTTTTGTAATATCAACTATCTGCTTTTCTTCACAGTTTTACCATCTACATATGCATTTATAAAGAATATAATTTTGTTTTTCCTTTCAAATTCATACAGATGGAATCATACTGTAGGTATTCTTTCTTGCCTCCTTTGTTTCATTCATCAACACTTCTGAAATTCATCCTGTTGAGGCAGGTAGCTGTAAGTGGTGACTATAGAGTGTTTTTGTGAACGAATAGACCACAGTTAATGTACCTATTAAACTGCTGATGGGAATTTCAGCTGTTTCTAGCTTGGGACTATTAGGAACACTGTTTTTGAAAAATTCTGTTCATGTCTTCTTATTACCATGTACAAAAATCTCTCTAAGACAGTGGTTCTTAAAGTGTGATTCTAGCATCAGGATTGCCTGGGAACTTGTTAATGATGCAAATTCTACGGTCCCACCCCAGACCTACTGAATCAGTAACTCTGGGGTGGGGCCCAGCAAGCCCTCCAGGGGATTCTGGTTTACACTAAAGTCTGCGGACCACTGCTTTAGGGTATATATGCAGAAGCTACACATACAGGTCAGTGTGCATGCAATCTTAGGCTTTAGTAGGTACCATTGAACTGTTTTTCCAAGTGCTCAGCTAATTTATATTCACACTGGTATGAGATTTTACATACTCCCACAAGGATAATATGTACTTCAAACGCCAAAACTCCAAACAATATTTTGAATCCTCCTTATAGGAAAAAACGTGACCTTTGTGAACAGTAGCCAATAATTTTAAAAAAATGCTTAGCTATTTACAACAAATACCATCATTTTCACTTAATTAGGCAGAGGTGAATGTTATTAACAGGCAACTAGATGAAATGATGGATGATGTCCAATACTGTGTAATGACGCATTGCTTTAGCACGCTGTTTTCTCATTTAAAATCCTCAGGAAAATGACCAGAGCTGCAATAATAAAACCGACACTCTTTCTCTTCTCCCTTTCAATCATTCAGTGACTTGCTGAATGAGTCTCCAATTTTTGAAGAGTGTCTTTTGTTCCCACAGAGCACAGAAAATCTGCTCAAGAAACTGCCATATCATGTGCTTACAACCATACAATGTAGTTTATGTTCAACCAGTTCCTTGGATGGCAGTAAGCATGATCAAGGCATCTTTTAAAGAAATTCAAGCTCCCTAACTATCAATACTGCACAGAAATACTTTTATGGTGCAAATGGTGATGAGTATGTGGTTACTAACTGCTTCCAGACTGTGCACTCTCTTACGAACAACAGTGACCTGTAGAGAAAACTTGGGTGACACATCCTGATCGAAGGCATCTTGGAAGAAGCACTTGAAGACTGGAGTCCATGAGCCCTCCTTTCACCTTTCACCTCATTAATGCACCCACATCCTAGATGGGAGATCCCACAGACATACATAACACAACAGCAGAGGCAAGGTGGCAAGCCTTCCACATCCTAGTGACTAAAAGCAAAGGACTCATCAGTATGGAGTGGGGTTAATCTGGGCATCTTCGGGGAGGCCAATAGCAAACAGGGTCTTCAGGAGGGTTGAGAACAAGGAAACATGAGCTTGTTCCTCTAGGACATGCTTTGCGTGGACTCATTTGCTGTCAGGTAGTGTTCCATTTTTTTTTTAGGCCTTGTTTGTTTCTCTAGCTAGACTAGAAGGTCTCTGAAGGAACAACCATGTCTCCTATGCTTTTGTCTCCCTCAAAGTCAAGAGCATAGGGTGGGGCATGCCATGAGGACTTGTTAGTACTGTCCATGGCCAGAAGTCAGATGAGGGTTTTGGGTTGGCTCTGAAGAAAACGCAGAACAAATGAAGTATATAACTCCTAATTTTTAGGTGATTAGATTCAGAGAATATAGGTTATTAAACAGTAGTTTCCATATTAAGTTGATTCCAGAGATAATAATGATAAAAATACTATCCAAGGAAAGATTTATTTTTTGGCAGTAGATGGAAGAGTAAGGGTTACTTTTGGGGAATGGCTCTTGCCCAAAACGGGGCATGAATGAGCCTCCTGGAGTGCTGGGAACGGGCTCTGTCTCTGATCTGGTTGTCGGGTACTGATGTATGCATATGAAAAACCCACTGAGTTATACTGTGGACATTCATATTTATGTACACTACTATATATATGTTATTCCTCAATAAAAATACCAAAAGACTTTGTTGTGTTTTACAGAATGGCACTAACATAAAATTTACATTAACTGAATGGGGCTGAACACTGAGCAAGAAAGACCTGCATGAGAAAGTTCTTGCATGTTTAACTTTTCTAAATATCTAAATACCCATGATCTCATCCAGCCACCATGACTTTCCTGTGACACAGGCATGCAGTAGTTATGAAGAGTTAGTGTTTTTTGAGCATGTTCTATGAGCTTAGTATCCACGACCTCATTACATTCTCACAGCATCTCTACGAAGCCCACACTATTACATTTTCCTCCTTTACAGATGAGGTTAGGAGAGGTTAAGTAACTTGCCTAAGGGCAGAAGTTGGTAAGTGGTAAGTGCAGAACTTGCCAACATCAAACCAGTGCTCTTAACCTCTACATGTGCTGTAGTGAGGAATCGTGGTGCCTATTTGAGGGAAGTGACATTAAAGGCCAGATACAGGGACCGACATGGGCAGTACAGAGTTAGAGAGGAAAGAGAAAGAGACACTAGTAATTTTTGAGTTTGAAATATTCACCAGGATTGGCATGAATCATTTTTGCATAAATGATATTATGAAATACACGTCAACACACAATCTACTGAGGTAGCTTTTTTATTTACTCATTTTACAGTTGAGGAAATTAAAATTAGAGGACTGAAGCAAATTGTCCAAAAATCACAGGACT